ACGAACTGGTCCCAGGTACTTTTCAGGTTGGGAGTTTCATTTCTCCCCTATATCATTTGGAGGTCATCCACAGAGATCATTTTCCCCCTCTATCATCATGACCAATTCTCTGCTCAGGACAGAAAGAACCTAGCAACTGCCATTAGAAGGAGATTCTAGCACCCCCAAACCTGGTATGAGGAGAAAGCTAAGCACTGGACAACCACAGCATGGGCAGAGCCCTCTTACCACTCACAGCTTGCCCCCTGCAGCACTCACCTTTTAACATAAGGATGGAGACGGGAGCTCAGCCAAGTGCGTGGGCCTCCAGAATTGTCAGTTCGTTAATGCCCAGGAGCATCCGGCTGTAGGGCTTGCTGGCACCTAGTATGGCAAGTCCAACCCCCCAGCTCAGAGGCAGGATGTCAGGGGACTGGGTCCTGGTGTCCCTACGTTCAAACATGATTCAGCCACTGGTGGCCGGGGGATCTTGGCGGCCTGCCCGTTCCTGGCTGTGGTTTGCTCTCTGGAGATCAGGGGTAACTAGGAGTGCTATTGGTTAGATTCACCGAGATGGCCATGCGCAGATTGCCTACGGTACCCACTACCTCCGTAGCCCTTGGCCTGGCTCCAACACCTGTGTCTGCAGCTACCTCTGTCCCTGCCGCTCAAGGCTAAGACCTCAAATGTCCCCCACTCTTGCCATTCTGTCCTCTCTGCCACAGAACGTTCTCTAGGTGGCATTTATCACATCACCTGGTAATTATCCCTGGTGTCTGAAAGCTCCAGGGAGTTGGGGAGAAAGGCTGAGTCCTGTCTGTAGCCCAGCCCCCATCCCATCCCATGGCCTGCTCTCTGGGAGAGACAACCCACTGTGTCTCCTGGCCTGACGCCACACCCCAAGCCCGCCTGTCCGACTACAACAACCTATGACTTCACTGATGCTGAGGCTGCCCAACACTTTCCATGCACACCCATGCTTGGCTCACCCAGGCTTCCAGAGCAGCAGAAAGCCGTCTGTCGCAGTGCCTCCTCTCCTTCCTGGCCCCTCTGATGCTGGGCTGTTACAACAGTGAGTCTGACTGAACCTCAGTCTGATCTGAGGTTTCAGATCCTCAGGGTCGACAAGTCCAAACCTGAGCTAAGTAACTGCCTTCCCCTGGCCTCCGTGGCCGCACAAGCCAGAGTCCAGCCCCACATAGCATTCCCAAGTCCTCACTCATCCTTTCCTGTTGTTTCAACCTGTATAGCCCCTCACAGTTGAATTTGCTCTCCCAGGCCCAACAACCACCCCTATCACCTGGTTGGCTCCTAGTCATACGTTGCAACCTTGCGTTTTCCTCATGCAGCCCGGGTGCTCAGCACGCAAATCTGAGCAAGTTCCTCCCCTGCTAAAAACCCCTCTAAAGACTCCCTTTCACCTGGAGATAAATTCTTGCCTTGGTGATGCCTGCCCATTCCTCCACACTCAGTACCCCAGCCAGGAATCTTTGTAGGCTACTCACATGGTGAGAAACACTCTCCCCTTGTTTCTTTTTTATCTGCCCCACTCTGTGAGCCAGCTTTACTGCCACCTCGGGTCTGCCTTGGTCTCCAGAGTGCTAGAGGTGCACACTGCTCATCACTGAGCAGACAGATGCTGGCTATGGGATAGGTGGGAAGATTTAGTATAAAACTGGAGAAGGGGGTAGAGGTGTAGCTCAGTGGCAGAGGGCTTGTGTAGCACGGAAAAGGCCCTGGGTTTAAACCCTAATACCATTGAAGAAAAGAAAAAGCCATAGAATATTTGTTAGTAAAATGTGCTGTGCTTCAGTGTGCTCTAGGACATCTATGCCAAAAGGATATTTTATTTTCCTCATATTACAGACAAGGAAATGGAGGTTGGCCAAAGCTATGGTGGTCATTGGTTGAACAGTATCTTCACCCAGCCCAAGTTCATGTGTGCCTAGAAGCTCAGAATCTGACCTTATGTAGAAAGAGTCTTTGGAAAGAAAGAAGAAAGAAAGAAAGAAAGAAAGAAAGAAAGAAAGAAAGAAAGAAAGAAAGAAAGAAAGAAAGAAAAAGAAAATCTTTGCAGAAGTAATTAAATAAGATGAGGTCATGCCAGATGAGGGTGGGCCCTAAATAGAGTGACCAGTGTCCTTAGAAGTGACAAGAAGAGAATCTCACAGGGAAATGAAGGACATGTGACAAAGGAGACAGAGGTTGGAGTGATGTGAGATAAGGAAGCTAAGGATTCCTGGAACCACCAGGAACTAAAGAGGTGAGAAGGGATTTTCCCCTGAGTCCCAGGCAGTATGAATCTGCCCCATTTCTTGACTTCAGGCTTCTTACCTCCGGAATGGTCATTTGAAGCACTGACTGGTAATTTATTAGAGCAGTCACAAAAAACTAAGACAGCTAGCTGCCTACCTGTCTGTGGTCACATACCCAACAATTGGCAGCTCAGGTGATTTTGTATCCATACCTGTGACACCCCCACCCCACACCTCCTTCAGCTCCACAAACATCCTTGGTCTTACAGAAGCTTGACAGTTAGCCCAAGTCTGTAGAGAGAGCTCAAGGATAAGCTTGTCTCCATAGAGTTCCTATCTGGCTCCTTCCTCCTAGTGAAGGTTCTAAAACTACTCTGCATCTTGTTGTCATGGCTAGTGAGAAGCTCTGTGTCACTTAGCTACTTCCAAATTGGATGAAAAAGGGGTCCAAAGGTGGGGCAAGTCCAATTTCAGTCCCAGCCATGGCTCTACCCAATCTACCCATTCACCCAGAACTTGGTTACCCTCCATCACTCCAAATGGGTCATCACATGGGTGACCCAGGGCTTAGGACACCCAAGGTGTGTGTGGCTGTCACCAATACCTCTCCTGGCAGGTCTTATACTCCCATCCAAGCCTAGGTTTAGCTGTATGCATCCCAGATGGCCCTCAGGTCCCCTCAAATTCTTACCTCATTAGTTCACTGGACTATCCTGAAGAATCCTGGTCACCCCCCACAAGTCCTACATCACCCCTAGGGGTGAGGACATTGAAGTGCACACCCTGATTCACAGGGACCCCACAAACTGCTGTCCAGGGCAAATCCAGGGGAGGACTAGCTGCCTTAAGTATACACAGAGGCTGGCGAGGTGGGAGGATGTGTCCGCCCCTGAGTGGACAGCTCTCTCTACTTCTCCAGGCTAAGCCAGAAACTCTCCTCATGAGCCAGTTCACCCAAGGCACCCCTAGCAGCAGTTAAGGAAAACCCATCCAGGAATCTATGCCCAGACACCAGCCTTCCCTCCTTTCCTGGAAAAATGTCCTCTAGGAATCTCTCAGCCAGGTCCACAGTAGGAGGGGCCAGGGCAGTTCTTTGTGTTCCACAGGACTCTTTAAGTTCTGGGCATCCTCTGTGTCACTGCCTGCGCTGCCCCCTTCCTGACACTTATGCTCAGCTCTCCTCCCCTTGTTTTTCCCTCCCCCCTCAGTCTTTCACACTACAGGGGACAACGGGCCTGGCTCAGCCTCTGGAACGACAAGATCAGGATCTGGGAACCATCCAGGTCCGACTCTGGCCCTTGGATGCCGGGGAGGAAGAGGGCTTACCTGGCAGCCAGCTCTGGACAGGTCCGAAAGATCCCTGGGGTGCTAGGGCTGCTGCTTAAAGCTCTTAGCCCGTCACAGTGTCAACTCAGCAACAGTGCCTTGGCCCTGGGGAAGGGCTGACTGGGCAGTCATGCAGGTTTGCCAGGAAGGAAACCTGCCGTGCCAAGGTGGCCCCAGGACAATATTGGCTGCACACAGGGGAGGGAAGGCAGCTTGGGAGAAGAAGGCACAGGAATTGGTCCAACAGGATTTGAGGGATCAGAGGATGGTACAGAGACTATTGCATTTTGTTGTCCACTGCCTAAGAGATTAACCCTGAGGGAATCACAAAGCCTGGCACCCTGTTTTCCACTTCTAATCCCTCCCAGGCAGTTTGACCCAAAGGAAGGATCCTGGCAGCTGTCAGTCACTATATGCCCCCAGGCAGATTTCTGTCCTGCACACTTGCATAGGGAGGCACCCAGCCTTGAAGGTAGGCCAAGGACAAACTCTTTGCCTGCGAGAAGAAGGGGTGGGGGGTGCAGTGTCACAAATGTCCCCCATGCAGGTGAAATGAGGGGCCCAGAGCCAAAGTGAGGCTGCAGGGAGCAGCAGCAGGCTTCCACTGCTGAGGCCCCATCTAGCTGGGTGGGCCCTTTGGAGGAGCAAATGCCCCCTCCTTACAGTGATGGCTGTCCCTGCCCTTACCAGGCGGGAAACCTGGAGCCTGGGGCAGACGCAGCCAGCCCACTGCCAGCCTGCCCAGAACCGGCTTCACCGTTAACTGTGGGCCTCAGCAGGCCTGCTCATCTCCCCGGGAAGGGGGTCGGAGCGGATGGGCCCCACCCATTCTGCACAGACCTGCCTGGGGGCAGCAGGGAGGGACATTAAATATGAGACAGTGCCCTCCTACAGATGCAGGGTGGACAGATCAGATACAAATGCCCACTTCGGGGGGAGGGTGTTCCTGAAAGTAGGTGCTGGCAAAAGGCACCCACCCTGCCTGCAACGAGGTCAAAGCGACTATTATCCCACTCAGCACTGGAGCCAGAGGGTAGAGGTGCCAAAGGCCACCTCGTCCTGGCAGGACTAGGCGTGTCCCCTGGCGGCTCTGGAGAAGAGCTCCTGTGCCAGGTCTGACGTAGGCGGGCCCTCCCCAGCGACACCCCTGCTAAACCGAGGAACTTCCCCCTAGCCGCCGCCGCCCCTCGCCCCCCGCCGGCCGCTCGCGCGCGCTTTCTCCCGGTGCCTGCCCGCAGAGCCCAGGCGCTCCGCGCCGCTCGCATCCCGCCAGCCGTGGAGGGGCGGGGCCGGGG